AGAATGGTTATTAAAGCTTTGTTCATAATCATTCCAAACTACAAATGATCTAAGATTACATGAGCAGGAGAATGAATGAACCGTGTATAACTGTGCAGTGGAACAGCGCTCAGGAGCAAAAAGGGGATTTCTGATACACACAACAATGTGAATGTCAAAGATATTCTGTTAAGTGAAAGAAAACAGACACAAGAGTAAATGCTATGTGAGCACATTTATTTGAAGTCCAAGAACAGGCAATACTAATATGGGGTGATAGGACCCCAAATGTCTAGGATGGGGATGGAAGGACTGACTGGAGAGAGCATGAGGGACTCTCTGAAGCCATGGATGTTCTCTCTCTCACATGGAGTGGTCATCACATGGGTATTTATACATGACAAAACTCATCAAACTGTACAGTGAACAAACGTCTGTTGTTTGTGCATCTTATTGTATCTAAATTATACCTCAATAAAAAAATGTAATAAAAAGTCACTTACACAGGCAATGGGAAATGCCAAAATGGTGGCATGAGGTGGGTTTCCTGAAAACAGAATGTCTTTGTCATTTAAAATGTATGTGGAAGTTACTGGAGGGGTTGTGGGAGGGAGAATGGGCTAAATGGGTAAGGGGCATTAAAGAATCTACTCCTGACATCATTGTTGCACCATATGCTAACTAACTTGGATGTGAACTTAAAAAAATAAATTAAAAATATATGAAAACTTTTAAAAGGTAAAAAAAAAAATCACTTACACAAACATAAAAAGTAATGAATGTATAGAATAAATCTAACCACAATGTTTGAGACTTCTACCCAGAAAACTACTGCTCAGAGAAACTAGAGAAAACCTAAATACATGGAGGGTTAAACCATGTTTATAATATGAGATGTGGAGAGGATTATAAAATAGTAGGAAATAAATAATGCTGAACGATGTGAAAAAACACATAAACTGAGTCAGTTTTAAGCAGCAAATTAAACTGAGGTTTGAAATAATTAACCTATTCAATAAAATATTTTTTAAACTACTTTAAAATTCATCATTAACCCTATAGGATAATAAGAACACCAAAGTGAGGTGAAGAATTGCAGGAAATAATGTAGTGCCAAGGCTGTCTTTTGTCCTAATGGCTTCCGTTAACTCTTGAGCCTCTCTAACTATTGCACTGTATGCATATGACAGGTCTATGATGGGTCTGTAAGTCTAGGGCCTGCCCAAAGTGGGGATGCTAAGTCCAGAATTTATAAAACACAAAAGGGCAGAAGATATGATGGGGTTCAGCACACAGTGTCCCAAAATATGGCACACCGTGCCATTCTGACTATTTCAAGTGGAAGGAATGTGAGAATTGGCAGATAAGAGAGGATTTTCTGACCTTTCACCAAAACAGGCTGTAAGACCCACATGTGAGAAGCAGCCCCTTATACTTGGATGAAAGGAGCAGCCTTGTCTGCAGGCAGAGGGAGACTGAGAGGGATCTGAATGACACCGAGAGGAAGCTGTTCTCCCAAATTTGCTACACTTAGCTCATACCCTTTTTGGTCTTAACACATTTTTCCACAACTCTATTCTTCATCAAACGCAGCAAAAAATACCCAGGTTTAACTACTTCTTCAAGATCTTCATCTCCTTCTGAAAGCTCCCATGCCAAGTTGAGATAGGGAAACAGAAGGACCCCATAAAAATCAGGTTTTGTTCTTCTTCCTGCTTTCTGTCCTTGCCAGGACCTGCACCCCTAGCCTACTTTACACATGCCTCAGAATGTCCTCCTGGTAAGGGACAAGGAGTTCATGATTCCTCTAGAATAGATGATATAGGGCCAAGTGAGAAGGACCTGAGGAAGCCATTATATGTGCATTCCAGACCAAGGCTCCAGGCATCTTAATGCCAAGGTCTCCTGGCTCCAAGGAATAACACCTGGGCTTTGGTCTTCTAACCAGTTCCTGGATGCCTGAGGGGACACAGGCAACAAAGACAAGAACCTCCCCCCCCCCCCCCCCGCCTTTGCTTTCTGAGTTTCTTGAACACTGCATCTATATCTTCAGTAAATTCTGCTCTTACTTCCTATGGGCTCATGTTTGATTTCTGTCCTACACAAAGCCAAAGACCCTCTTGGCGGGACCTGTGGGACCCCTAGAGGTCCCCAGACTCAGCCTGCCTGACCAAAGGAAAACTTATATTAAATTAATGTGTATGGTTTTCTCTTTTTGATTTGTCTTTTGTTACAGAGGCCCTGCCCCAAAGCCTAGAAGAGTGGAGGAAAAAGATATTTTTCTTTCCCTATTGATACCTTGGTTGAAAACCATCAGAAAAAATAAACAGCAGCTAAATAAATAATCAGACAAAATATATTTAAGTTATGAGATGCAGAATGAAAATAACAATGTTTAACATATTTAAGAAATAAAAGAGAAACTTGAAAAATCAAGGAGTAGAGATCAATCAGATTTAAGAACAGTAATCAAGAACCAAATAAAATTTTAGAAAGGAAAATACTTATAAGAATTGAAAAATAAAAACTCAGCAGATGAGGGGCACCTTGGTGGCTCGGTCGGTTATGTGTCTGACTTTGGCTCACGTCATGATCTCAGGGTTCATGGGTTCCAGCCCCGTATCGGGCTCTATGCTGACAGCTCAAAGTTTGGAGCCTGCTTCAGATTCTGTGTCTCCATCTCTCTCTGTCCCTCCTCTGCTTGTGCTCTCTGTCTTTCTCTGTCTCTGTCTCTGTCTCTCTCTTAAAAACAAACAAACATTAAAAAAATTTTTTTTTAAACTCAGCAGATGAGACTTCATGGAAGAAGGAATGATTGAATGGAGAAGAAAGTATCCAGAGAAGTCTTACAGAGCCAAAGAAATGGAAAACATAAATAGAGGTTAAAAGGAATAAAGAATAAAGTAATAGACTCAGAAACAGAGCAATAGAGTAACTAATTGTAATTCCAGAACAAGATAATAAGAGGGGAGAAGAGTCAATAATCTATATGGGAACAAAAATTAAACACAGTCTTCCTCACACATGTACAAATATGAAATCAAAGATCAGTCATCAACCTAAACATTGAAGCTACAACTATTATCCTTCTAAAAGTAGACATAGGAGACTATGGTTTGTGATCTTGGAGAAGGTAACAATTTCTTAGCAAGAAGGCAAAAAGCATTAATCTTAAAGGAATATCATTATATCAAAGGAATATAATTAGGATTAATAAGCATTAATCTTAAAGTCGTATCATTTGATGTTGACTATCAAAGTTAAAAATTTCTGCTGATCAAGAAATATGAAAGAAAAAGGGGCGCTTGGGTGGCTTAGTCAGTTAAGCGTCCGACTTTCGCTTAGGTCATGATCTCGCGGTTTGTGGGTTCGAGCCCCGCGTCGGGCTCTGTGCTGACTGCCAGCTTAGAGCCTGGAGCCTGTTTCACAGTCTGTGTCTCCCTCTCTCTCTGACCCTCCCCTGTTCACGCTGTCTCTTTCTCTCTCCTAGAAATAAATAAAAATATTTAATAAAAAAAATATTTAAAAAAAAAAGAAATATGAAAGAAATGAAAAGGCAAGCTACAGACTGGAAGGTCATATTAATAGCACGTATGTCTGACAAATGGTTAGTATTGAGAATATCAAGTTATAAAGTACTCTTACAAATTAATAATAAAAGAAAAACAACTCAATAAAAAATGAGCAAGACTTGAACAGACACTTCATTAAAAAAGATATATGAATGGCCAATAAGCACAGGTAAAGGTGCTCAACATCATTAATCATTAGATGAAAATTAAAATCACTAGAGGACCTAACTTGACACTACTAGTATGTCTAAAATGATGAAGATAACACTATGTGGTAGCAAGGGAAAAAAGACAACACTTTATTGGCAAGGATGTGAAGCAATTAGAAGTCTCACACTTTGTTGGTGGGAGTGTAAAATGGCAAAACTACTTTGGAAAAATGGACATCCCTGATGTATTATAAACCATGCTTTTTACTTTCCTCTATTGTATTACATGAGCCAAAGCTTTCCCCTTTGTGCTTAAGCTAGTTCAGATCAGGTTTGTCTTGAGACAGCCAGTGAACCCTGTCCTACACTAAAAGACAAGATACATAGATTGTACCACTGGAGATATGTCACTGTTATGCCAGGCACCGTGGAACTTGACCACTTAACCACAGGTCCATAGGCAAGCACTTGAACATCTTGCTCAGATATGCATCCACAAAGCTAGCAACTCTAAACTGTGAACTACATGTCATTTGTTGCTCTGTCCCTGGCTGTGCACTTGTGTTTTCTGCCTACAATGCCCTTCTGATACAGACAATCTGGGTCAATAAGCACGAATGGTTAAAAAAGAAGTGAGAAGGAAATGAAAAATCATGAAATAATAAATGGCAATGGTAAAATATTAATTTGAAAACCAACTTTGGAGACTTGCATAATGTACATCCAGTCCACACGACCATAAATTAAGTATTAGCAAAAACAATGTATAATTTTCATGATTATACAGACTGTGGCCTTCAAAAACCTGCTAGTGGCAGTAGACACAGTACTATATTTAAGTAAGCTATTAAGTAAGATACTTGCACATTCTAAGAATTAAAACAGGTGAACCTTACATAGACTGGTGCGAACACAAAAGAACATTCTGAATTGGGGTTTACATTTTTATAATGTTACCAAATGCAGTAATAAATCAAATGGAAAACCCATGGACTATTAAGTTACCTTCAAGTTCCATGCACATATAAATAACCTTAAACTACCTGCATGACTTCAGGGTGTAGTTTCCTTCCAGAGCGCTGTATTTCTCAGGCTTTCAAGCCCTGGAGAAACCAGTCAGGTGGGATTTATATCTGGCTCAACATTATTTCTGGTGGACACATTCATTCTTTGGTTCTTTACCTTGTGGATCTTAGCTTACACTAATGCTGCCAAAATAATCATCTCCTATTCTGCTTCACCATATTTTCCATTTGACCTTTCTTAACATGTAGAACTTTTGACAAAGAATAATGCATACCTGTGTCATAATGCACAATAAGTCTTTTGCTGTGATTGCCTACAGTCTGTGGCTCAAAGTCCACTTCCAGTTGCATGGACTCTCCCACATTAAGAGTTCCAACAGATGGCTCTACCGAGAAAGGCCTGCAGGACACATGGAAACACACCATCAGAACACATCCTAACACATGTGGGAGGAGGAGGAGAGGATACAGACAGGACATAGAGTTCTGCAGAAATCTCAGACCACCCCCTCCCACCAATTCAGTGATTCAGAAGTAAAGTATACTTTACCCCCTAATGTGAAAGGATTTTACACATTGATTTTAATGTTTGATTTTAATGTTAAAATAGCAGTAATAGATCAGCAAGTCTAAGAGAAATTTAAATGATATCATAATATTCTTGTTTGTGTCCTTGCCTTTCAGCCATTCTCTTAGCATTCACTGAGTGATTCCAGTGGTCAGACTTAAAACAAGTATGCAATGTGGTAAGCCACAAAAGAAAAGTATCTTCAAAGGGATAAAAATCAAGTTTTGTGACAGTTCAAAGAAGATTTAATAATCGAAAAATATATCAGAGTCCCAAAAGATAATACAATCACATGAGGATAATTTGAGGTCAGTTTAACAAAGCGTCCATTAAAAAGGGGCTTAGAAGTAGAGGGGAGCTACAAAAGATGATACAATCCCCCAGGATAATAAACAGGAAACCCTTTACGACATCTAGGGCCAAAGAGCCAAGGAGCAGCAGTGGTTTTGAAACCCACAAGAGTCCTACTTGAGAATGCTGCCTTATGAGGAGCAAAGAGCTTTAGGCAAGACAGCCAGCCAGCTCAGGTGGCCTCACAGGGAAGACACCAGGGGGGAAAGTGTCCTGACTTCACATTCTCCTGTGTCATCACCTGCTGGGACTCCTACTGGCTGAACTGAACTAGAAACCAAAGGCTCAGGAGCCCGATGACCAGAGCCATACAGGTCAGCCCTGGGGGTGACAGCAAGCCAGGGAAGGTGAAGAGCATTTAGAAAGGCAAACTGGGGACAAGTCCTGTGCTTGAAAATAGAATTTGGGCATGTAGACATTACAGGGTGATAGGGTAGATTTGAAAACAGGAAATAGTTTCATTTAATTTCCCTGGAAGGAAGTGGTAAGAGAGAAACTGGATCTGACCATGAAGTACCTTAAATAACTTACAGCATTTTTCCTTCTCAATAGAAAACCCAGCCCATTTAATTATTTTCATGGTCCATTTCACTTCTCTAAATTGCTAGTTTTTCAAAGTAATGCGTTGTACAATGTATCTGGCAGGCTAAGCTGTTTCTGATTATTTACTTCTATCACAACCATTTTTTAGTTTCATCCCTAAATCTTCCCCGAGATAATGAACTTAAAGTCAGAAAACCTGAGCTTTCTACTGTGAGGAGATAGCTGTGGCACGGGTAGCACTTGGTGATACCTGAGGCCATCACTGCAGGGTGTCCAGTGCTTCCTACCACGGGCAACTGTTTATTTTCTCTGGGGCTTTCTACTGGGATCTCCCTCTACTTTCACTTCTTGATCTTCCTATGTCTTTGTCCTTTCCCACACCTATAGCACCAATCCTCCAGTGAACTCTGGACATTGCTGTAGAGACTCTATGGGGTGGTGTTCCCTAGCCTGAAACCAGCTAAGAAAGTTCAAAACCCAGCTCCGCCAAGACTCTGGAGCAAGTCACTGAACATTCAGTCTCCTCATCTGTAAGATGAGGGTGATGACGGCACCTGCTTCAGAGGGCTGTTGGGAGGACTAAAGGAGCTGGTACAGGTGAAGTGCTTAAAATAACGCCTGGTACCTAGGAAGTGCTAAACAAGTGCTTATTATTATTTATGTTATCTCCCTCACTGGCAGCTTCTAGATTCTTATTATTATATATAATAATTAATAATAATTATAATTATTATATATTAATATATATTAGTATAACATATATTTTATATATTATTTAATCATATATTATTAATTATATAATTATAATATATTATACATTTATATATATTTATATTTATATATTATTTTATATATTTTTATATATTTATGTTTACTTATATTTATATTTTTATATTTTATATTTATATATATTATATATTAATAATACACCTTCAGGGGACCTCATAATCTATGCAATCAAGTTCAAAGTCCTAGGCATTTGAGGTCCCACACAATCTTCTCCCAACTACATTTTGCATTCTTATTAAATACATATATCTGTCCAAATGTCCCACACATCTGTCACATTCCAAGTCAGGCTGGGGAGGAGCAGGGTGGGAGGGCTCTGTTCCCTTCACTGGAACCTCACATAGCACTGCACCCCCTCTCTCTTCCAACCAGACTGTGCCCTCTACACAGACCACTAAGGTCTTACAAGAATACTTACCAATTTCCACAGGTCATACTTTTCCCAAAGCCACCCAAAATTGGTCAGACTCAAAGCTACCTCTCAGATGGAATCTTCCCTAATTCTCTGTCTTGTGAACAAAGTCTCTTTCCTCTCAGAGGCTGTGACTTTCTTTTTACTTCTTGCTTCAGTTCACCTTGTACTACAGTTAGTTTTCATGTCTGCCCCTGTCAATAGCTACAGACTCTTGAGATGACAGGAAAGGGAAAGCAAATAAACTTCCATGAGCATGGACTCCATAATGGGCACCACACTGGGTACCTTACATATGTCAATCCTTGTAATCCTGGGAGAAACCTTTAGTAAATAGGTATTGTTATCGCATTTTATTTATTTTTTGAGAAATTTTTTAATGTTTTTTATTTATTTCTGAGAGAGAGAGAGAGAGACTGTGAGCAGAGGAGGGTCAGAGATAGAGAGATAGAGAGAGACAGAATCTGAAGCAGGCTCCAAGGCTCTGAGCTAGCTGTCAGCACAGAGCCCAATGTGGGGCTCGAACCCACAAACCATGAGATCATGACCTGAGCCGATGCCAGACGCTTAACCGACTGAGCCACCCAAGCACCCCTGTTATTGCATTTTAGACATGAGAAAACAGATGCTCCAAAAGGTCAGGCAACTGGCCCAAAGTTGTCCAACCAGGTAGTGGCAGAGCTGCCTTCAAGTTCTTTCTGCCTATCCAAACCACCCCTGAACATGGAAGCCACTTAGGTTTATCTTTGTGTCTCTCACCTAACACACAGTTCTTTACTCACAGAAGCATCTCAGAAGAGGTTGTGGATTGAATTATAACTAACTTTCAGAGGGAAATATAAATATCTGTAATCATTAAATAATCTTTATAACATCTTGGTGGAACAAAAACGGAGCAGACTTTCAGTATCTCAAGAATTTCTGCTTCCTGAGATGAAGGTAAGTCATCCAAAATAAATCTCACAGTTTTAAAAGTTCCTTCCTCCCTTATGGTATCAGTAAGAATCTTAAGAATTGAGCCCAGTTTTCTGACTTTGGGAACAATGTTGTGATATTTTCTTCTATCTTTGCTTCCCTAGTTCCTAATATTTTTCTTCCCACATGGTGCTTTGATTTTCTTTTCAAACATTTCTTGGTAGCAAAAAGGACAGTTTTAAAATCAATTGGATAGCATTACATTGCATAACCCAAGCTAATTTTCTATGGACAAAGAGACTCCTCTCTAGGACCTCCAGAAATCCAAATTCTGTACAAAGGTAACAGATACTTCCCTGTTATGCTCACTGTGGGGTTTATATTACACTAAATTTCTTCAACAGTTAAAAAATTATCTGGGATCACCATTGCTACTTAGAGCTGCCTAAGCTTTCTCAATAAATCAGACGTTAATTGGGTAGAGTGTGTTAAGTTCTGGTGCTTAAACATTGTCTGTAATTTGATTTCGTACTCCACTTTACTACAGGCAGATAGACTGAACTGGCTAGAAAATATCAAGTATCAGAAAATGCTCTTAACAAAGAAGCATTGTTTCTCAAGGGTATAAGGCTAGCCCCGTCTACCAAAATGTTTGGTTTTGATATAATATCCTCATTAATACTGAGTGCTTGAGTAGGGACAGAACTCAATATAAAAAATCAGGAGCCATAAAAAGATTTTGAGTTTTTGTTCAATCTTCTATAATCTGCTTTTGAGAATTAATATTTTAGTTCAATTTAGATTCAAAATTTTAGCAAAAGGTCAATATTAGCTCGGTTATATTAAATATGGAATATGATATTAATATGTTTTCTTCAGACAATCTTTCTTATTAGCTGATTCCTAACCTGAGATTTTACATTTTGAGATTCCTTCTTAATCTTTTCTATTTCACCTTTCAAAATTAATCCTACCTTAATAGTCAAAATTATGCTGGTACCTACTAGACTTTCAGATCAAATCTGTAATAAAGCTGAAGAGTAACTGTTTATGTTCTCTGTATATTTTATAGTTCATTGCAACTCTTTTTATTAGTGTAAAAAACATTATGCCTATTTTATATTACTGGGAGAATTTTTTATTTTAAATTATTGTACAGGTTTATAGTTGTAGCTTTGCCTTTGTGATATACTGTTGGATAGGCATCCTATAAACATTTATTGAGCACTTATTTCTTCTTGGCACTATATTTGATGCTAGGAAAATACAAATGAAAATGGTTAGATACAATCCTTGCATTTGAGCTCACATTCTAATCAGGGCAACAGACATGTAAAGAAAGTTTGTTTTTTATAATTTACATGAACCTAACCATTTATAAACTTAACTATTAATTAACTCATTATTTCAATGTAAAGAATATGGTCTGTTTTTTAAATAATTTTCCATGAGATACTGTTTCTAACTGTGTGTTAACTCTAAAAGGGACCAGACAAATAGGAGACTCTAGGTTTTTTACTCCAAAGTCTCACAGTGTATCTACTGCCCTCCCATGTCTATTGGCCATCATATTAACTGAAAGAGTGGTACTCACCACTGTGGGGGCAACACAATCACCTGTGTATTTTTTAGAATGGATGCTTGTCAGGGCATCTCCCCAAGATTCTGATTCAATACAATATGACCACAAGTTCAGTTACATCCTTTCTCATTGTCGACAGCAAGGTTCCCAGTTGCAAACAACAGAAACCAACTCCAGCTAACTTAAACAAAATAGAGATTTATTGGAAGGATTTGCGGTAGCTCACAGAATTGATGGCAT